GAACAACCTGAACAAATAGAACAAATTGAGCAAGAACAAACCAAGTCACCAGCACCGTCGTTTATAAAAAATACACTCAACCTCATAACACCATCATATTTCAAAAAAGATAATAATAAAAACATAGCTAAAAATGTAATCAAAGACCTGGCTACAGCCCAAATAAACAAACCAATTCAAAAGAACAAGAAAAGATTCATTCAAAAAAAGAAAGAAAATGACAATGCAAGATTATAGACAAAGGATTTAAGAAGATAAAAACAATCTTAGAAATGAATACCTAAAATTACAACAAGAACAACAAAATAACAGAGATGAAGGACCATCAATAATAACTGAATATAACCAAGACCCTATAGAAATAGGAATAAACCAAGAATCAAACTCACCATACTTAAGACCAGTAATACGTAGGCCTAGAACACCTAGTTATAAAGGAAAAACACCAGACTACGGATATGGAAATGAAGATAAAAAAATTAATATATTGGAAACAGAACCAATAGAAATGAAAAAAAGAATAAAACTAAAGATTCATGAAGAATTAGCACATATACCAAACGAATATAGAAAACGTATAATACCCATATTAGGAACTGGAAAACCATTATGAAGTAATGATCACCTAGTATTATTACCAAATACGTGGACTGCAATTAACATTGACAAAAAAGGGAACTATTTCGTAACAACACCATTGCATATTGCGAAAGAAGGCATATGCATACAAAATGGATTAATAAATAATTGGTCAATTAGAATGATTAATTATACAAACAAACCCAAAGTAATACAAAAAGGAGATCATATTGGAAACATAACCAAAATAGATGAAATAAGGACAATTAGTAAAATTAATAAAAACCTAAAGAAAATTAAAGAATTTAATGATACAAATAAATACAAATACGACATAAAAATTGGAGAAAAGGAATTAACAGAAAAAGAAAGAATAGAAATACTTATTAAAAATACTAATAAAGAATATAGGGAAAAAATGAGACCAATATTTATAAAATATATGGAAATATTCCGAATGAAGAAAGAAAAAGGAACAACCTTTAATAA